GTTAATTTCCAAATACTAGCAACCTGCATTTTTAAGAAGCATTCTAGATGGTTCTAATGTACAATGAAGTTTAAGAACCAAAAAATAAGAATTCGAACCCTGGAAAGGCCTGTAGTGGCTATGGGCATGGGACCAAGCTTTCACATCTTGGTTCTGCCATTTGTTAGTTGTGTGACTTTGGGCAAGTTACTTAACTTGCCGCCATGCTTCAATGTCCTGGTCTGTAAAACAGGACCTTATAAGACTGGTGTGAGAGTTAAGTGAATTCATACACTTAAGGAATTTAAATAGTTCCTGGAGTCTGGAAGAGTATTTTCCTATTACAGTTCCTTTTCCCTTCAGCGACTCCAAACTCTGCCACCTAAACCTTCACTGTGAGGGCACAGGAAACTCCTATCTCTTATCCATTCTGATTATCTTGTGTCTGCAGCCACTTCCTATTTTAGGGTGAATTTCTATAGTTTCCCACTATTCTCACACAATATTTTTTTCTTCTGCTTGTTTGTATCCTTGTATTTCGAGTAGTTAACTTATCCGTATTTAAATTTATTTCAGTAATCTAGGGTTTTACCAGAATAAATATTCTCTTACTTGTTCTCCATGGTACTTCCTTCATTAAGAGGATAACTCCATAAATGAAATATCCCTTGTTTACTATTCTGAGAATAGAAAAATCATCGACAATATTTTAGTAGCTGCATAAATATTTTAAAAATAATATTTTATGAGTATAATGAATAAAATCCTACCTGTGTTCTTTCGTGAGCATGCTCTGACAGATTAAGTTCTAGCATCAGCTGCTCTACTGGAATTTCCAAATGGTTCTATAAAGCAGCAGAAGACTTTTAAACATATTTCTTTTTCTTTTTAAACATAATATATTTCTGTTCCCTATTCTCATTCTAAGAATGTATAGTTTTTGTTCTAACTAAAGAATATAAAGTCCAATGATATTCCCGTCATACATATAGAAATCATTTGTTTTTACTGATTTCAGCAGAAACTAGTATAATCTAATTAATATATTCTATGATAAATACTAAACAGTGTTATTAATGAGCCTTGAATATCATTAAGATTGTTTTTATTTTACAGTTAAGTATTTTATATTTTGATCAAAAAGGATAAAGAAAAAGATTAATTTTCCACTACTTCAGAACAAGATATTGACCATTTCAACTGCTTCAAGACATCCTGAGGGCTGAGACTACTTTCCCTTTGGCCATGACTAAAAAACACTATATTCATTACAATGTTAATTTCCATTTAGAGTATTGTTATATTGAAAAAACTTAATATAACCAAATATTAATTCAAGGACCAATTTGTAGCCCTGTAAAATAGTAAAGGCTTTGATATGTTTGAAAACTTTACAGAAATGAAATTTAAAGTTTAACTGTAGGCTGGGCGTGGTGGCTCATGCCTGTAATCCTAGCACTCTGGGAGGCCAAGGCGGGAGGATCACTTGAGCTCAGGAGTTCGAAACCAGCCTGAGCAAGAGCAAGATCCCGTCTCTATTTTAATAAAAAATAAAAAAAAGAAAAGAAAGTTTAACTTTGAGGAAGAAAACTTTTTTTTTTTTTTTTTGAGACAGAGTCTTACTGTGTTGTCTGGGCTAGAGTGCTGTGGCATCATCTTAGCTCACAGCAACCTCAAACTCCTGGGCTCAAGCGATCCTCCTGCCTCAGCCTCCCGAGTAGCTGGGACTACAGGCATGCGCCACCATGCCTGGCTAGTGTTTTCTATATATTTTTAGTTGTCCAATTAATTTCTTTCTATTTTTAGTAGAGACGGGGTCTCGCTCTTGCTCTTGCTTAGAACTCCTGAGCTCAAACAATCCGCCCGCCTCGGCCTCCCAGAGAGCTAGGATTACAGGCGTGAGCCGGAAGAAAACTTTTTTAAAGAACATACATATACTTTTAAAACAATATGTTTTGTGAATAATTTAAAACCAAACATTTATCCTTACCTTGTTAATTTTGCCTGCAAGAATATGTATGAAAAAAATGACAATTAATAGTTACATAAAGGTGGTTATTTCAAAACAAGCCCCCTTTAATACGAGTGATTATTCCAGCATAAACATACACATCTAGGATTTCTTACCGCCTGCTGCACTATCCCATCCAGATGGGACGTTTTTATTTTCAGGAACAGGTACTTCTGAATCCAGATTCCAGTGAGATAAGTTCTAAAACAATATGTGTTTTAGATAAACTTAACACTAAGAAAATTTAAAAAGCTCAAGTACATAATTTTACATGTTCTTTGGGTAAAGTACTACAAAAGGCACAAAGCTTCATGACCCCCGCTCCCTCATTATAAGGATACAATCAGCATCTTTAAGGGGAATATAATTTTCTCTTATCAAACCATTATCAACTTGATAACATCTATTATTCAAAAAATAGAAAGGTTTTTATAATAATTTGTGGTTTCACTCTCATTTTGTCAAAAATAATGACACAGGTTTTCAAAATTGATTTTAAAAATATAAAATGTCCTGTTCAGTGTGTCCCTGGTACACAATGGCACATTCATCTAATTTTCTGTATCTGAGTACCAGATCTGATAGCCTATAAAAATCATTCCATCAACCATACAAAACCTCTAACTTCCACATTATATTCCACACTAACCAGCCCACTACTCATTCTGGATTCCAGACGTTGAGAAACACTCAGGAAATATTCGAAAGAAAGCCAAAAAATGAATGAAAAGAGAAAGGTACTAATGTCTACTGAGTATTTATGTTCCAGACATTGTGCAGAATGCTATGGGAGGAAACTGTACGGTGTGTATAGGGGAGGATTTTAATAATTTATTCTGGAAAATGGAAAGTGAAGAGATGATTAGTTCATATGAAAGTAATTTTTTGAGAATGAACTCAGTTGTTTTCTATCTCAAATAAGAAAAGCTTTTGTAAATTATTATTATTTTTTTTCACCCAGATAGTGTGAACTCAAGCCTTTGTAAATTAAACTCTAAGCAAATGAAATGTTAGGTATTATTAGGTATCATCTCTACACTCATACTGCATGAGGATTTAATTTATCCACAAAGAGGTATGTCCTATAGTAAGGGTAGTTGAACATTACAAGAGAGGCTGCAGATCATCTTTTTCTGGAGGCTTTTGAAAAATAAAATTAATAAAATTGATTCTCTGCTCTTCGGGATAATATATATGAGGTCTAATTTCTACATAAGAATCACGTGGGAAACTTTTTAAAAATAATAATTGCAAAAAAGTACTACAGATTCTGATTCAGTAGCATGAGGATAAGGCCCAGTTATTTTTATTTTTCAAACTTTCCCAATGGATTCTCAAGCTTCTTTCAGCTATGTAATCCTGGTACACTAATATGCTAAATGCACATGTGAAAGAAACATCCTTATATTAAAATGGTAAAGGAAAGTTGATGAAAACCGTCCTGTCAAGATCATGCAATCAAATTAAAAGAACCAAATTTGTCACCTGGTAAGGAAGTCTGGTCTGCTAGTTAGCAAATTTCTTAACAGCTGGGACTTGATTATACTTTTTGATATCCCACCTTACCAATATTTGTCATAAAGTATGTGTGAGAAAATAAAAAAGCACTGCCTGATTGATAACAAGGTAGCATCTTTAACAAAATCCATCTGCAACCAGAAATGTTTTGAGATTCTCAGAAAAGCTGGCTAACTTTCCCCTTGTTAAAAGAAATAAAAATTTTCCATTTACTATTCCAAATGTGCCAAGAGGAAAACTCAGGACAAACTGCTCACAAAGCAAAAGCAGGAAGGGTATCACCACAGTAAGACTCAACAGGAGTTATGTCTTAGCAATGGGAGCTGCCACCCAAATGTTCAAGTTCAACCGCATCCGCCATACCTCATGAGAGATGTTTGACACACGCAGGTTGGTGCCACAGTTCTCACCATTTCTTCTCCCCATTTTGTTGTAGCTGCTTCTCTGTTTCCTTAAAATCCTATACAGGTTGTGGGACAGGCACATTTATGGGTAAGGGTCAACATTTATGAAAAAGAAAGCATGAGCTTTGACTTCCCAGCTAAGGGAGGTTAAGACAATGCTTAGAAAACTGAAGAGGAACTGCGAGGGCAGGGTGGGGTGACCACAAGAAATCAATCAGAAGCAAGCAGCAAGCCAGACCAAAAAAGGACAGGGACAAAAGCAAGTTGGAAGATGTAACTGACAGGAGATTAGGAAATTAAGGTCAGAGGTGAGAAAGGAGATACCAGATAAGAGAATGAAATACGCAGTGGAAAAAATATGGTGAATTATCTAGAACTTACAAAACGGCCATGAATTCCGTTTTAATCATTCAAAACAAGTGGTCCATTTAGAAGCAGGGTTAACCGTACCTACCGACACAGCTGGCACCCCAGGCATGTTACAGAGAGCCAGGAGGCCAACAGGACCGAACTATATTTTCCACACCAAACTATCATGGTGCCTGTAACACCCACTACCATTTAAGGTACAAGTGCTAGAGACCTATAGGATGGCAGTAAAGCAATGATTGAGGTATGGCTATCTGGAAAGAATCACAAATTAAAGCCACGGCAGTAATCAGTGTATTTGCCAATCATTTACAATTTATTGTGTCCTGGAGAGAAAGATGTATCCTGAAGAAATAGGGGATACATACAGTTCAGGTTTTGATCCACCTGCTGCATGCATGCCGGGCACTGGGTTTGAATGGAGGAGGAAGGAGGTTGCTGGTTGGGTGGCGCTGCCTGGGGCCACCCGGGTGTGTGCCATGGAGGAGGGCACCGCACCTGGAAAAGGGGCCTGGAGACAAGGAGACCTTGGTGACTGCGAGTCCGGGGAAAGGAGGTTTAGGGACCAGAGAGGCGGGGGCGGCTGTGTGGAGGGTGCCGCGGCGCCCGCATGACACTGGGCCCCTTTCCCTGCAGGAATGTGCGGCCTCGGGTGGGGGCGGGTGGCAGCCCAGGCCCAGCGCTGCAGGTGGGGCTCGCGGATGCCGCGGCTCGGGCTCTTACCCCACGGCGCCGCAGGCCCACGCGTCCTCCCCGGCGTCCTCTCCGAGGGCGCTGCCGCCCCGAGGCCGGGGCCCCTCCGCGCGCGGGGCGAAGGGCTTGGCGGGCGCCCCGTCCGACTCGGCCTTGCTGCAGCGGGAGGACAAAGAGGGCAGCGAGCGGCGGCCGGC